CCCACTTCGTGGGCCAGGTAGACGCAGAGACCAGTTAAAGAATTGCTAAAGGCTGAGCAAAGGATGTTTGCACACAGCAGAGAGAAAACACACACAGACATTAAAACAGAGCACAACTTTTAGACAGCATTCACTATGTACATTTCTATTATGTTTCATTTTAACTTTATAACTTTATAAATACTTACCACTGCCTGAACTTTCTTGAACTTAACTAAATCTTGTTCCTGAAAATCCAAAATTATTTCCTAATTTAGCAGCACATAGCCATTCACTCAAAGCAAGGCTCTGTGAAGTTAAGAGATAATAAATCACCAGGCTTGGACTAACTTGATAAAATATATATATATTTTTAATATATATATAATATATATATATATTTTTTACAAGTATTAATCAACTGAGGGGTCAGGCTTCTGTTTCTAGCAGTTCAGAGAAAGTTACTCAGGAAATTCTAGCAGTATTGGTAAAATACTTCAGTAAAGCTTTGGCAAAGGGTAGATTTCAAAACCAAATTATATTTGACAAAGAATAAAACTGAGTATTGAAGCAAAATTGGCTGATGCTCTAAAGCTTTTACAGCATTAATTCTGTATATGCAGTTTCTAAGTAAACATGGCCATAAAACTAGAAACTTTAACCAGCTTGGTGCAAAGCAGCTGTACTTCATCTAGCTATTAGCAATTGCTTCTAAAAACATTAATTGTAAATATGAAAAGGGTATAACATTGAATGGCTAACATCTGATGCTTTAAGAAGCTGTCAGTAAACTAACCTGCAGGCTAAGGGTGCAAATTCAGCTCTCGCACATCCAAGAGGGCAGACTCGCAGCTGGTCATCTTCAGTGCACTGACCACATGTACCAGATGAGGGCATGCTCCAAAGACCACCTCACTGAGACCCATAGCATGAATCAGGAGACACTGGCTGCTTAGACAGGATACTCTGGTTCTGAGACCTGGGAGCTTCATTCTAGCTGCTGCTTTTGATAGTGAACCAGTTACAGATGGGGATGGGTCTAATAGTGTATCTTATTTCCTAAGACCGCTAGGAAGAGATCTGAAGACTGTACTCTTGTATCAGCCCAAACGCTACCTTTTACAGAAGGGGCTTTTGCTGGATTTAGGGTGCTTACTGCAAAGAGTATTTAAAAACTTCCACAAGGGGGTAACTGCTACCACCTGCATGGCAGAGATCATGAAGCTGTAGTCCTGTCTCTGTAACTCAATTTGAGCTTCATGATACTTCATGTTGCTCAGGCAAGGGGTTCCCAACCCATAACACAAACACTACCCAAAGAGCCAAACACTGCTTCCTACACTCATGTGGAGCAAGGCCTGCTGCTGGCAATCACAAGTAGTGGGAAATAAGCTAAGTGCGTTTGGGAGCCCCAGGCCCAGCTGGTACATTCACTGTTCATGTAAAAGCTCTGTTTGACAGACAGGGGAACGCCTGAAAGCAGTTTATATTCCAAAGGATCTCTTGGCTACCCAAGCACCTAAGAAAAATCTGACAACCACTGCTCACTGCCATCAGAAACTCCTGCAAGTTTACAGACGAAACCAAATTTGTGTTGTTTTTAAATGCCACCCCACATGAAAAAGCCTAGCACACACACAGGCAGATCTGCTAAGCAACAAGGAAAACAAAAAGAACAGGAACAGGCCTGAGACGATGATAACAACAAATGAAAACCATGAACAAAACACACTGGATTTTCAGCTGCTGTTGAGTCACCACTTCAGATTTAGTTTGAAGCAGAAAGTTAATGATTAACATTTTACACAAAGCCACTTGAGAGAGTTGCAAGTAGGATTAAGTAAAAGTTCCTACTTTGGATTTGGTATCATGTTTCAACCATGCTTTCCCTCCCCTTCCCCAGCCCCAGCAGTATTTTGGGGCTGTACAGAGCATCAAGTAGTAGTTCATCCCAAAAAAGCACCTGGAAAGGGCTTCCTACAGCAGAGCCTCGGTGGGTCCTAGTCAGGCAGGCTTCTCACCAAGGGCTTTCCAGAAGGCCACAACGGTTGTAATGCAGAAGCCGCATCAGTGCATTGTTTCATAAACCCTATTGGAGAGCCCTCACTCTTTAAGAGGTATTAAATTAGTACCCCACAAGCCACTAAAGGTTTCTGCAGTTTGCATTTCCACAGCTGAGAGGCTGATCATCCCCAAACATTGAGATAAACTAGTGCAAACCTTCCCCCCCGCCCACCTTTCTTTTCTCTAATCACACGCCCACTCAATGCATAGAGAATGCATTCACTAAAACTGAGTTTATTCTTTGAGGGGCAAGAGAGGAGAAAGGAGGAGGGCAAGAGCCTTAACATATGATCTGTTTGTTAAGCAATTTCATCACTAAATATTTGCCCTAGGTGGCTGAGCTTGTTCTTTCGTATGAAGGGACACTATGTTGGGAAGGCTAGAAAACCGTAAAATACTCCCTTTTCCCTTTCCCCCTGCCCACGACTCATACCAGCACATCGTCAAATAAGTTACTGCATCTCTTGTTTTTGGTAGCACCAAGTTCTATCCCTTCCTTTCTTCTCCCCATCTCCCAATCCCCACATTGTAAACTTCAACACACTGGCCCAAGAGTATAAAGGGTTTGGCAAAAAGTAGGCATCAGCTTTCAATGTGCACACACAAGAATGCACACTTTCAAGAACCCCTCAAAAGTTTACATATCCCAAAACCTGTAGGCATCTACATACCTTTAGAAGCTACTGTAATTATTTGTCAGCATCACAGGTGGACATTGGGTTATAAAGCACAGAAGAGCTAGAACTGGTACAAATCCACACAGTCCGTTTGGACAAGCTCCATTTCGCATCTGCACCATACTGAACTCAGTGCGCACCTGTCATCCTGTAACAGCACGTGCTGGGCCTTGCCTTTGGCCACACACATACACACATGCAATTCACTTTGCAATTGGTTTTGTGCTGGACAGGGCAGTGGTGGTGATCTTAATGGCTTCTACTTTATTTGTAACATTGGAGCTTATTCTAAAATTGTACATTTACATAAAAACATTAATTTTAATCCAGTATGCATCATACGAATTAAAAGCTATCCTGTCCACACAATGCTAGGATGTTTTCTTTTTTAAAAGGCCAAATCTAACAAGTGAAACAGAAGAGAGAAGTTACTTTGGCTGCAAATAATTAAAAACCTGGCTCAACATTCTGCTTGTATGTTATGATGTATAATTTAGATACGTCCTTTAAAAGAAAAGACACTCCAGTCAGCTACTTCTTCTGTAGTTATGTAGGAACAATGATACTCCTGGCTAGCAAAATGAGAAGAGCAAGATCTGCATTTCCATCTGCTCGTTCCAAAGCCTCAAGAGCTTCCCGCGTGGTAAAACCAGCGCAAAGAATCCGATCAATGTCAGCCGCAGGGAAAGCGGGCAGTGCAGAAGCAACAGAGGCAAGCTCAGAAGAGCCAGCTGGTGGGTGCAGCAGTGGTTCCTCAAGCCCATGCAATGGCCACAGACCTTCAGGAGCCAAGGCGTTGCTTCTCCCAGATGCTCCTGTGAACAAGCTCTGAGTATCTTGAGACACATCTTCATCCAAAGCAGGTTTAGAAGAAAAAGATGTGTTTTGCTCCAAAGTCCGACTTGTTGGACTCTGATTACATTCTGCCAAAATATTTGCCTGCTCAGAGCTCTGTTGCTGTTCAGCCGATGTCACTGCAGAATTCAGCATGACCAAATCACTCTTACCTGAAAGTTTCTGCATCTCTGTAGCATCTTTTCTGACAGCTGACTGTGTGCGACTGATACATGCGACGCAAACCTTTTCTACTCCGCTATCACAATGCTCTTCCCCCAATTGTCGCTCTGCGTTTCTACCTTCAGACCTCACTTTATAGAAGGAGCAACTCTGTTCCTGACTGTCTGGATCTAAGTCTTTATGCTCATCTTCAGAAAGCCCCTTCTGTTTTGCTTGTTCTTTGTGAGCCATTTCCAACTGAGAGACTTCTTCAGATGCAAGAATTTTACATTCTCCTTTACGACTGATAATCAAGAGTTTGTGAAGCTCTTTCAAGGCTGATGCTAGAGAGAAACATGGTTCTTCTGAGGATGCTCCTGGGTCAGTGTCCAGCTGATGGATGCTGGAGAGGGAAGAGCTGTTTTCAGTAGTTAAATTAGGTAACTCATTATACTTTGCAGGAATTTCATTGGTGCTCTTAGACTGCAGCACATCACTAGTGGAAACTGGATCATCCAAGGAGGAGTCAGACTTCAGTGACTCTACCTCCATAGAAGGAAGATCCAAGTTCACATCAGATACACTTCCATTCTCAGCCTGCCACTCCTGTTTGCTTGCTGAGCTGTGCACTTCAGCTCTAGACTGCTCAACTATATCTACTTCCATAAAGGTTTCCATATGCATACAGCTACAGGATGCTGACATTTGGATCCTCTCTTTCACACAGGAAAGACCTACTTTCTCCAGTCCATTTCCTCTTGTTTCTGCAGGAGAGTGTTCTGGCTGGATGCCTGCATGACCCTCTTCCACAGCAGGTTTCTCAACCCCACCAACATTGCAAGGACCTTCTGGGTGAGTAATCTCATTTTGTTTCTCCAGATGTTCATTCACTGGTTCTTTGCACATCTGATGATCTACAGGAAGCTCATTCTTTTGTTCCTCCTGTTCTGAAGACAAAGGTAGTTCTTTATTTTGCTTGTGCTTAGCAGCAGTGTCAGCCAAGCTGTTTTCTTGTAGCACTTCCAAAGGAGGTTCCTGACCATGGCCTTGTTCCTTAGCGTTACATTCCTTTAGACTGTCAGCAACAAATGTTTCTTTGAGTATGTTCTGTGAGAGGCAAGCTGGACTGTGACAGGTTACCTCCCCTGTCTGGAGAGACCCATCATTATTTGCCAAAGAAGCATTATTGGAAAGATGCCGTAATAAGAGAGGATGTTCTTTTTCTGGGGTTAGCTGGCATTCAGTTGAAGACTCCAAAGACTTCACGGCTCTAGGATCAACGGGCTCTGCGAGGCTAGGTATGGGTGAGCAAATTGAAGCAGGGGCAGAGGCAGAACGATCAAGTAATTGATTCGTGGGATTACAGATCTTGGAACTTAGTCCTGAAGACTGGACTGGATTTTGAAACCCATCAGAAGCTGGTAATGAGGGCTTTTCCAGTGAGGTAGTTTCTTTGTCACTATTCTCTATACACAGAGAGAAAGAGAAAGAAGTAGTTAAGACGTATGAGAACCACCTTTTTTCAAGTATTTCTACCTTTGGAATACAAGCTAAAAGGATAGTTTGCATGTCAGCTTGACACCGTTTCCATTTGGAAATTACTCAGCAGAGCACCACTCCATTTACCATTAGTTACTGCAAGAAGAGTTGTTACAGATTGTCCAGTGCTCTGAATATTAACTAAGGGCAAATCCAATAACTACATTCCAGCTGCAGACACTTAATCACTGACAGCAAAAGACACAAGAAGCCAGTTCCAGGGTGCTTGGAGAGCTCACAACTAGAGGACATTTAAACTTTAAAGTGAGCAAATATATCTAGAGTCACCGAGAAGATAATGAAATCCCAGAATCTCACTTTTAAGAGTCATTTTTTCAAAGGAGAGTAAGATCTACACTTTGTGATACAGGAAAGAGACACTCCAGCAGCATACAAGCACACAGTATTTTTAGAGGGAGGCTTCACAGACGCTGCTCAGTGGTTTGTTGAAGCTTAAAATAACTTTAGGTTTTCTTTCAGCCATAACCTTTGCCTTAATCAGGAATATAAGCCAAGGAACATCATTTTTTTTCCCATCTGAATATCAGGGCAGATGGGACAATGACAGCAAAGAAAAATGCTACAGACAGAGCAATTGCTTGTTTTGTTTCTTTTCTTCAGTATGTTAATGTATGCAGTGATTAGAAAGCAACAAAGCAAACATCCTCCATCAGATTATGCCAGCTTGAACTGTAATTGTGGATATAAAATACTGACAGTTATTCTACTCTTTCTTGAGTTACTGTTGTCTGCTGTTATGTAGGAAGGGAACTAGCTGCTAATTGACATCTTTGAGAAAAAAAAAACCTCCGTTGAAGCAGTTTTCATACAACAGAAATAGACAACCTCTGAGGTTTTAATTACAGAACCCCAAAATACCTGGGAGCCTATACATTTAAAGTGAAAGCCATTTAGCAGATTATCACACAATTCAATATGTTGGTTTTAACATTCTCCACAAAGAGTACAAGATTTTCAAAGTATAGGAATTAGTACAGTCAGGACTTGCTTGAATTCACTTCAGATCAGATAGCTACGCATGACAGATCTATAAGCAAACACTTAACTACTATTTTTTCCTGAAGTAACTGGTTAAATTGTTAACTGCACATACAGCTATTACAGGTTGAGCTGCATCTGTTCAGTTAAATTAAAGCCATTCAAAAAGTCCACTATCACCAAGTATTTCCCTGCCTTTTAAAGTCTTTACATTCACTTGTCACATAAAAGCCCAAATAACTGATGACTTGGGGGTGTGCACGATTTGTGACATACCCCGGTTGCATTAAGTGGTACCTTGTTTCAAAGAAATAATTCACATACAACAGCACATTGGCATTTCAGTTCACCAGATCTGCTTTAATCTTGTATTAGGACATACAGTTATCAGCAGGGTTCCATGCTGGTCCACTTTGTGTACAACTCCCCTGAACTGCCAAGCACTTTTAAGGAATTTGCCATCTCTGCTCAACACAAGTTCAGGTTGAGGCACCAGAAGCATTTTAGATAAGCAAGCATCACTTGGAGAGCACAGAAGGGAAGTTCAGAGCTCTAAGTCCCCCCTTTCCATGAACATAGGGCTCCAACTTTTCTAAGAAATTTACACAACAAATTTGTTGCCTTTGGCCAAGCAAGGCAGAACCTTCTTCCACACTCTTAAGTGAAGGAGTTGATAGTTTCACACCATGTGAGTTTCTCCCTACTATAATTTAAAGCAAGGACAACCCTGCTGCTGGTAGCGTGAATGTAGTAGTGAAAGTTTATAAACTGATGGCTATAAATACCTGGTCTGTGGCCCACTCCAGCTGCAGTAAACACACACTACATGCATCAAGGCTTCTGACGTTCTGTTTGGATTAGGAAACAAACACACCAAACTTGCATTAGCATTCAAAGCACACAACATGCATGGTTATAGTCCTGCAATTTCTCAGCTTCCCCCAACAACTGTCCGTAAAGATAGTGCACTGAACAGCAGGAGCTCTTCCCATTCACTTCTTCCAGAAAAAAAGTTCTGCTTGCCACTGTCGCGTCTGGGAAATTCATTACATCAAGTCAAAAAACATCTCTGCAGAAGAACAGCTTAAAGGCTGTTCTGTACTATCTACGCTTGCAAAGCGGTCCGTGGGTGACACGAGACACTTGATAAAATATATGCAGCAAAAGGCACATGTCTAACACCATACTAGTTTGTTCTCCATACTGCAGAAGACATACAGGAGCCACACTGCAGGGAAGTGAGAACTGAGATGGCATTGCAGTTCTGCAGTTCTACTCCCAGGAGCTACTACCTTGTCCTGTGCCACTGTATGCAAGAGAAAATAAGCAAACTTCAGCTTGCTGCAAATGGGAAGGATAAAGATTCTGGGGTGAAAGACAGAGACATCGCAAGAAGGGATTACTGCCCGAGACCAAGAGCAGAACAAGTGAAAAGACAGCCAGAAGTCAAACCCAATTCATTGTCTCCTTCTCCACATGGAGAGCAAAAAAATTGCAGATCTTTGTCAGTAACACCAAACACTAGTTATCAGGAAAAATTAAAAAAGAACTTTTCTTGCTAACAGTCTGTGCAAATATATCAAGTCTCATGCTCTCATTAAATCACTAGTACAGCCTTTGCTGCAGTAGCACATGTTCTTCCATTAAAGTGTGCTAGGATTTACTTTATCCAAGTGTCAGATATCCAAACAGCTGTGCACATTTTGCTCTGTGTTGTTTTTCATCGATTCCCTCTCCCTTCCCACAGGCTTCAAACTCAATGGTCTTAAATATAGGACTGTTTTACCTTAAGTCTTTCTCTTTTTACAGATACACAGGCTTACTGGAACAGCTGACTTAACTGCTCATACGTACAGCTACTGTGTTTGATATCACAGAAGGAATCTGCCTTTTTCGCCTCAGGAACTCGTTTCTTTTATTCTCCATTAGATAAAGATGGTGCATTACACACTGCGATACAGCACCTCTGATAGATGCACTTTGGTATAAAATACAGTAGCAGATGCACAAAGTCACCTGTTCTACTGGCTGCACATCTGGTTTTAATGCAACTATAACAACTTAACAAAATTGGAGTATTAAAAAGCCAGAATTATCCTGCAGATTTCCAGACTGCTCATTTTTCAAAAGGGTGGCAAAGAGGCTTCTGACACAGGATACAAATGAAAACAGGAGGCATTTTTTTCCTCTTTCTGCATGGTAGCATTATGTTCACTCTCTCTGCTGCAAAGCCAGTCCTTTAGAGAGGAAACAGTGTCCTTTGATTCACTGGCTCTGTAATAAGGGTCTAATCAGTAAATTCGTCAAGGAATCTTAAGTCATTTAGACAGCAGAAGTAGCCAGTGTTCTGCCGAGCACTCCTCGGCTTGATCCTTCTGAGACTCACTGTCATCCTTCTTGCAGGGTACCTACAGGAGCTGAATCCTAGCTCCATCAAGGAGATCAATCCAGCCAATGCTAGGAACAAACTCTTCTCCACAAAGAGCACCAGCAGGGATAAATTCCTCTCTGTACGAGAAAAAGTCTGAGTTGCAAATTTGGTGTAGTGCCCTTCTTATTAAGGCTTTCTGGATTAAAAACCTGTATATGGGGTAAGCTACTTGAAAACGCTTCCTGCCATACCAGCTGTGGGTTTTTGTTTTTTGATTTTTTTTTTTTTGGTCAGTTCAAGTTCTCTACAATCACTGAGCTGTTGCAAGTTTTTTTTTTTTTTTGGGAAGGGGGATAACGACACATTGCAGAGTGGCAAAAAAGAGCAAGCTCTCAAATGTAACTGAAGCAAACACGGAGGATCTAGCAGATCACAGTAACAGGCAAGCTGATCTTGCCATACACAGAAAACATAGCAGGACTCCACCACCACTTCAGCTGCTTTTTCATAGGCTTTGAAACACCAGAAGGTCAGCTGACAAAAACCATGAGGCTTGATAAAGTGGGCTTCAGTGGATTGAATAAGGCTCAAGAGTAATCCAGGTGCATTCAAAATGAGAACTTTAATAGCCTATTGATGTACATGGTGATTTCCGTTGTACCGTCTACCCGAAGGCAGCAAAAATTCAAGCTGTTATAAAAGAACACAGGCCTTGTGGGGAGCCGAGTTTCCTGGTGCTGCACTATATCCACTCTCTGTTTCTGCCTCTCCCGTTTCCTGTTCTTTGACTTGGTTTTCTTGGTACCATCTAGCAGCAGCTAATAGTTTTGGAAGAGAGGAAGAGGGCATATATGTTAATACTGACATCTCAAGATACAACTACAATTGCCTGTGAGCCAGAGGCTTGTGATACATTTAAGACTTTATATACAGTCAATCTAAACAAGACCTAACTTAATTTTGTTTATTAGCATTCTACATGTACTAGGTGAATACACAAAATGCCTTTTCTTTTCTAAGCCTGAAATCTTTCACATTCCTTTGGGGCTCAGTATCAATGGGAAATGGTAGACTGCTGATTAGCCTTAGAAGCCACACAGCCTTTCAAACTGCACTGGTACATAAAGCAGTTTTGATTTCAGTTATTTTAGGTGCTTTTTCATTTTAAAACACTTTGCTCAAATGCTTTAATGGTAATGACATTTTTTCAGGCTGAGCGGTTTTGATTTTTATTTGACCCTTTCAGCAGACAACCAAATCCAAACTATGGCATCTGCCAAGTCTGATTTTAAATGGTGAGATACTGCCAAAAAAACCCCAACCACACCCACAAACACCTTTGCTTCATCAGGCTCAGAATTTTCACAGAAGAGCCAATATTTACATCCCTACATTTTCTCTTCCAAGTTGCATGGAGAGAGACTAGCTCAAGTAACCAAGTCTGATCCTTAGCTGTATCAAAATCTGACAAGGGCAAGGTTAAATCTGTGTTACACTCTGCATTTCTCTACTTGCTGTAGCTTGAGTTAATGAGCGTTCAGATTTGGCTTCACAAGTCAAACGTGTATACTCTTTCTTACTGATTCATTACAGTCAGGCCTTCCTCTGGAAGTTTTTGCCTCCCTGGAAACCTTAGTCTTGGAGTGGAAGAAAAACAGGTCAAGGGGACAAATAGGCACAGTCTTGTGCTCTCCTTAATGTAACTCACTCAGTTATTAGCAAGTAAGTCACTGCTTGCTTTTTGGACTATTAAGCAGTAACTGGGATAGAGGGGGAGTGTTAAAGAAAAAGCTTCAGTGCATTATAAAAGCAGATCTGAATATCGCACTTCAATTTTAAATACGAACAAATGTTTTCACTAGGTTTTCACTAGTTTTCACAAGTGTTTTCACTTTTCTTAAAGGATAGCAATAAAAATAATGAAGACATCAAAATCCATCCGCTTAAACACAATCCAGCAAAGACTTTTGGGTTTGTAGGGGGAAACGGCATCTTGCTGCATGCCTTCAAAGGAAAAGGTAGCAGAAAAACTCTGAAGTCTTCTTCCCTTTAAAACACATGCATACCAAGTGTTATCTTTCTATCCATTTTGAAGGTCTAAGGAAGACGCTTTCTGAGCTATTCACCATTTGACTGAAAGAGTGGAAAATACAAAAGTGAAGATTTCCTTTAGCATATGCTGAAGTTAAAGAGGAGTTAAAAAGAAAATCCACATTTCAGACAGTTTGGCTAATAGCTCAGCTTTCAGCTATTTTGGCATTTTCATTTAAATTCTGCTGTGCAGCCTATGGCTTCTAGAGTCTCAGGGAGCAAAACTGTAAGAGGGGAGGGTGAAAATTCTCTTTGTAGAGTGCCTTTACGCAGCTGATGTACATTAGGATCTGAATTCAGCTGCTTCTTCTGAATGAATAGGAAATAAGCTATTTAGAGCAAAAGTAATCTTCAGTAAAAGCAGCAACTTATTTTCCGGGGCACAATCACATTCCCTAGAGAGTGCTAAGGAAAAAGCGCTGAAACAGTACTGTTTTGAAGAATTCTCATGAACTTACATCGTCCCGGAGCAAATAGGTGGGCATAAACTACAAGTGAACACATCTTACAAAATTATAGCTCCTCAGCAGAGGGACACCAGCTGGCTACAGATCTGCTTCCAGACCACTGCACACATAAAACCAGAACAGTTGCTGAAACAGGTATTTGCTCACCCACCAGAGATTTGTACTTACTCTTAAGGATCCTGTTTTTATATGCTGTAGCTGCTAAGAACAGAGTCACAGAAGTTGCCACAATGCTGTGCCTATGTGATGACTAACATGTCACCTGACTCATGTCCCTGGCTGGACACTACAATTTGAATCAGGTGAATGGGTGCCAGAGACCATCATTTATCTCCACATCCTCAAAGACCAAGAGACCAAAGCTGGTAGGAAGTTGCAAAGAGAGCACAAATTAAACAGCAAGCACCCCCAAATGCCTTCATGCTGACAGATACTGCTATACAAGACAGACAGAGGTGCAGTTAGAGGCCACGAGCAAGAAAGCCCCATTCTCTCCACTATTTACTCACTGACATTGCATTAGATTATGTCCACTAGGAGCAGAGAAGAGGGAGAAGGGGGCTCCCAGTGACTGCTGACAGACATCCTGATACATAGGAAGAAAACTATGGCAACTAATATTTCAGTCAGGCTCCTTGTGGTACCTGCTTCCTCTACAGACTTCTGTATTGCTTCTGCCAGTTCTTGGTCAGCAATCTCCTCCGGTCGCACATCCTCCCGCCCTGCCCCGTAAGCCAGCCTCGCACACTCTGGGAGCTCGCCCTCTGGGAGGAAAGTAGTCTGCGAGCCAGTTGTGCCGATCACCAGTACATTCTTCTTGAGATCAATGGAACACTGTGGGAGAACATCAAGATATCAGGGCCCATGTAAGAGCGGGGCAACTCCAGGAGAAAAAAGGAAAAACAAGGCAGGTTAAACAATCCATTTCCAATGGGAACAGCTCACACACACTAAAAAAAAAAAAAAAAGGTGGGCCGGAGAGCTTCACTATAGGCAAGGGCCCCCAGATGCCTTCATTTGTAATAAATCATTGCATTTCAAAGCTCTGAGCGTCTCTGATCAGAGCAAAAAACCTTCAGGGAGCAAGCAAACGCCATACAGGTTGCCATGATGCATGTAGCATATCTACTTCTTCCACAACTGGCTGGAAAATAATCCACTATCATCACTCTCCAGAAAATTCTAAGAAGTTCACAGGAATGGCATTTGTGTCGCATTTAGCGGTTGCCAAGGAAGAGCCAGTAACTGCTTCAAAAGAGCTTTTGTTACCTGATGCCTCTTAAGCATATCCAGTCCTAGAAGCATGTCCATGGGCTGCTCTTCAAGGATTGAGAAAGAACATGCCAGAAAATCCCCTTCAATCTGAACCTGAGCTGAAATGCAAGGAAGGTAAGTTACCACCTCATAAGCTACAGCACAAGGGCTCTACCTTCTGTTTTCCCATCCCCTAGGAAAACTCTGCACAAGCCTGCTGGGTAAATCTGAAACCAGAGCTCTGACATACTGCTTTGGTCACAGGAAGTCAAACCCTGTGCAAGCTCCAGGATGCGACGGTGCTCCAGGTCAGGCACGTGTTGATCTCAGATAGTTAGTTATTTTAAAAGCTGATCTGCTGTAGAGCCTTCAGTACCGCTTACATAACCCTCTGAGCTAGAGCTGAAGTAGTGGTACAGTTCTCTCAAGCACAAGTCTAAGTAACAACAATGAAGAGGATGCATTTTTCAGACATTAAGGCCAACCTTATGTCATCCAGAAAAACTGCACAAGAACACAGACAGCATTCTCCTCCCAGAGGAATATGAAACACTCAGCTGTACTGGAACTCTTCCTGAGCGACTCATACTGCTGAACAGTCATACCCTGAACAGGAAAGATCCTGCTATTTCACATTAACCCCACTTTTGCACACGGAGCAAACATCTCCTCTGTGTCTGCTGGAGCTGAGAACTCCCCTCAACTAGAGCGTTCAGATAATTCCACTAAGAAAAGCACTAAACAGGCCAGAAGCCAGATTACTGTGTCCGAGTCAAATGAACATATTGCAGATGCACTTTTATTTTACTCCGTGGGAGTTTCTAACATTTACAGCATTAAATAAGATGCAGTCAAACTGCCACTAAAGCTGTCCAAAGAAGAACGCCAGTACTTACCTAAATGCACTCTGCCAATGATTTTCTGTGTCCCTACACCTTTAGCAATGCCAGCCCACCGCCGATCTACCAGCCTCATTATGTTGCACCTTTCAGCACAAGATTGGCTCATAATGGTCATCTGGGCACCTACCAGCAACAAAATTAAGAATTAATCCTGATAGGTCATCCCAAAATAAAATTATATCCTGAAAGGGATTAAAATCCTGCATTCAGCAGCTGGGAAGCCATACCACCTGCTTCAGGGAACTGCACTATGGTACAAAGGCTGCTTATGAATCCCCCCTGCTTTTAATTTACTCTGTGCGTATACCCAGAGATGAGCACTAACAAGTGAAGTACGTATTGCTGTTGAGCTGAAATAACCCTGAGTACTTTCCCTTTAAAACTGTGGATGGAAAGTACAGCATTAAAGGCAGGCAAAATCCCACCCCCTCCATCTGTAAACTGAGGTAAGGCACACATGTGGCAGTGACCTTTCTGGCATTGCAACCATCAGATACCAGAAATTCACACAGGAGCCTTGATCCCAGGGTGTTCAGTCACTCCTTTGCACTGCTTCCCAAAGTATCTCAACAATTTGCTCCATTTGCCTTAAACAATGCCCAGAGTGCTCTCAGATTTTAATTAGATACTTTAAAATCTTGTAATGTCATGCTTCACTATGGAAAGCAAATATTTCGGGCAAAATTTCCGGACTGTTTACCTTCTCCCTCAATGAGCCAAAGGAGGATATGGAGTAAGATTAAAACGTGGGCAATTCACCTGAGTCAACAAAGGCTTTCACCGGATGTCCGTTGACTTTGCAGTTAATATACAGCATCACCACCTGGCCAAAACTCTCAGGGGCCTCTTCCATTGCTATCGTCATATTTTCTTCAATATTTTGTTGCCTAAATTTAAATGGAAATTAGAGTAAAAAAAATAAATCAGATCTTCTTTCAGCAAAATCAGTAATTTCATAAGCATCTTTCTGTCTTGCAAACAGATCTGGTAATCCCACCCACTACAGTTCAGCAAGTTACAAACAGCTTGTTTAAAACAAAGACTGTTTCATTAGCTAAATGTAGCCTTAACAGAGGAATTGCTAGTGATGATCTTGTCTTAATCCAGAGATACCAAGTCACTTTGGAACAGGAAAGACCACCATTCCTTCCAACATCTTGCTTAACTCATACTACAGCATTTAGCACCTGAGATACATGCATCTGACAACTTTCTGCTTGCAGCTCTGTCATCACAGAGTTAACCAGGAGAACTTGTGGGTGAAAAACTGCATATTTATTAGTCACTCTAAAATAAAGCACTGAGTGCACACGATGAAGATGTTGCCAGTAGCTACAACACTGGAGTCCCACTCAGCAGCTGAACGTTAACATCTTCCAACATTTCCCTGGTATCTTGCCTTTTGCAGGCACAGGGAGGGAAGGAGATTAGCAACTCTGCAGAGAGAATGCCACCATGATCACAAGCTCTCGCTGCAAATTCAAGCCTACCGAAGAAACACTCAAAAACCCTGCCCCAGGCCTTGCAGTAATCTTGAAAGCGATGGGTATCACCAGTGACTGCATCTGAAATAGATTATCTACCAACAGAAAAGGGCTTCTAACTTCAAAACCATTTCACTTTCCCCCTCAGTAGGGGAAGGGAACCAAACTCTTTTCTTGCTTTTATGTATACAGCAGTAGCCTTCCCACAGCAAGATGGGTAGATGTGGTTTCTTTAGGGGTGGAGGGGAAGAGGGCAGGCATTTAAAAACAAAAAAAACCAAACAACACACACACGCCACTCACAGCATCCAAGATCCGGCTTTCTTGGGAAATAAAAGCACCCTGCTACACTGCCACTAGTCCACCCTGACTTCATGGGTGAAGTCATGAAACAATCTGAAGAACACACATTATACTGTCTTTTCATATTTAAGCTTAAGTAAGATATACAGAGGTTGATCTTCAGTTTCAGCTTTCTTATTAAAACCGTTACGCTCTTTCCTCCCTGCTTGACACTCCTTCCACCTACAATACGCTTGAAGGAGAGAAAACATGGCTCGAAAAACATAATGCTTACACAGTACCTCTCAAACAGCGTCTAGTTAAGGAAGGCATGTCAAGTGATCAGAGAAAATAAGATAGGGTGTGAAATTTGGGAACTATTAGATGCCCAAACTGTTCTATAACAGCTGCACAACCTTGGGCATATCATCTTTATCCATCCCAATTCTCCCTCATCTATGGGGCAAAGAAAGCACTCCTGCACCTCAGAGCAACATTTTGCTATCTCTAAACAGCAGAGTGCAGAAAAGAGAAGTGCTTATCATTTATGCATTATCTGGTAGCAAAACCTTGTCAATCACAACGCAAGAATTCACTTTCTTATCGCAAGTGAATTTTGGTCAGGACCAACTATGAGAAACTGTACAAGACAGACATTTCTACATCAGGAAAAACACCACAGCCCATGTTCTGACTCAAGGATTTACCAGTCAATTTAAGGAGTCAAGGCTCAGCCCAATGCAATTACATTTGGAATACAGAAAGGGGGAGTGAACATTGATGAGCAGAACATCATTTCTGTAGACAGACACTCCTGTGACAGCAGTGAGGTTCAGAGTCTGGAATTAGCCAGAGATACAAACACAATTAACAATGAGCGAAACCAAATCTTGAAGGCAGCTAGGAGAAAGGATACCACATTGCACAGCAAAGAACTCAGGTTAGAGACCAGCAACGGCCCAGCTCTCAGCTTTAAGAGATGTCCAAGGCACCTAAGCACTATCGCTCAAGAAGATCTTTGCTAAGCACTTTCCACCAGTGCTCTTCACTGGTTTCAGAGCGGCCCTGCTTAGACAGTTTTGGGGCATCACCCTCACGGGCAGCAATGCTGCAGCTCATGCTCTGTGCTCAGCTGGATTTATCTACAAGGACGGGGTGTGCCTATAGGTCCCTGGTTTCCAAACATCCCACAGGCAAAGGTAGCTCTGGACACCTCCCGCAAGCAAATTTCTGTCTTAAGATGGGATCTGCTATCTAAACACATTCCATGCATCCTCCAAGGAAAAAGCACCAGGCTGGATGGAAGCACCCTGTGAAAAGCGTTCCCTAAAGACCTCCGGAGCCTGTGTGCGACTTCGGCTTGCTACCTTATGTCTTGACTTTGGCTTGCTACCTTATGTCTTCTTCTATCTTGGCTTGTGCCTCAAGATCAAAAGGATCAGCTGAATAGAGTCGAATTCTCTCTTGCTCCCGCCGGGCTCGGTCCTGCTGTTGCTCCACCAATACCCTGGTGAATTTCTCTGCAGTAACAAAGAGATACAAAAATGCTTTTTACTGGAAATTACTCTTACGAATCAACTCTTGGCACAGCAAGCTGCTTCTTTTATGCCAGCACGCACTCAGGGATAGAATGAGCGGCGCACTCGCAAAAGGCTTCATCTGAAGGCGGTATGGGCAGACCTCAAAGGCCTGATCAAACTTGGGAACCTGCTAAGATGAAAAACAACTGGAGCTATTTCTCCTTGTGCCCAATACCCAAACACAGCAATGCTGTCATGTCAATTGGAGTCAATTTCCTTGCACATACACTTTTTTGTATGAAAGAAAAATTGAAAAGCATCAATACAACAGTATTTACAAAGAGTTGCTATTAAAACCGAAATTCGTTATTCTACTGCAGCACGAATTGCCTACACAATACTTGGAAAGAACATCTGCAAAAACAGCAGATAAATTACACCCAGAGCAGAAATGTAGAATACAGCATTTGAACACAAGCTTCTAGTTTGAATTCTGCACGAATATTTTGAAAGGCCTTCAGACAACCTTTCTTCTCCACTGAGGAGAAAAAACAGGCACAACAACAGTGATACTTGGCATTTGTCACTTGCTGATACCAAAGCATTTTACATATGCAGCAATCATTACACTCATTTGTGAGGAAGCAGAGGTATCTCAGTTAACAGTCCCAGCACCACGGCCATAGCTAGAATTGAGATTTCTTAACTCTCAATAAGATGGCCCATCTACAAGAACAGATTGCAAAATATATCACATTTTGCACTCAGCAACCCTTGCAAAATTACCATATGTAGATTCAGCCAAGAACAGAACCTACATTACTAGACGTAAGACGACAAACAACAAAACTTACTTTAAACCCAGACAGCATGGGCCAAGATACAGATATTACAATCCCTAAATCTGAAAGCCTACCACTGTAATCAAGAGGAGCTAGCAAGGACGCTTGCTTCGGGAAGTCTAGTCACACTTTCTAAGGACACAGGTTTTTTTAGATTCCTCTTTTTTTGGAAGACCCATGGCTAATTTTTACTGCTTGAATCTGGGCACATACATTCCAAAAAGTACTTGGCTATAAATTAAGTTCCGTAAGCACAGGAGGCTGTGCTTTTGCTTCAAATAATGCAGTTCCCATAAAGCAGCTCTCAGGCTCAAAGCCTGTTACATGCTCAAGAAGGCATTGCACATGTTTTGACTTTTTAAAATTAGGCTTCTGTATAGCAGGTGCCTTCTAATGTGCTTGCAATGCACGCAGCACAGTCACATGGCAAGCATCTATGCATATATTTGGACATTAGAGCAAGAGTAGAACTGGATTTGTGCCCAAATACCAATAGTAACAGTACAAAACAATGACAGCACAGCCAAATAAAACTGCTTCCTCCTAACATTCCACTGCAGCAATTTGGGACTAAAAAAGTACACCTGAATCAAAGTTTAATGCGCATAACAGGCAATAAAGGTTAGCAGACGAGCCAGTTCTGGGTGTCTTGGGCTTAACCTCTTACTTTCTATGCCAACACTAGCACATTCTTCTCAAGGTGAGGGGAAGAACATCTCTTCTGCACTACAGACAGAGCTCAAAAGGTGTGAAGAAGCTTTAGAGAGCAAAGGACATGTTTAACTCTACAGATATGAGCTTAAGTCAGAGAAAAGAAACGCAACAGACCAACGACGGCCATTCAAGGTCCCTTCTAGCTTCCTTTGACTAAGGGAGAAATCATTAGGATGTAACCTCAAGGGGGGGG